AATTCTCAACCTGTTAAGTAATAATGCTTTTACCCACATGGCCATTTGCTGGCATTCTGACATGAAGGAGAACAAGGGTCTTTACACTTTTTGTACATAGTGGTATCACCAAGATGAACAGCTTTATTAAAGAGAATTTCAGCTTATTTTATTTGCAGCTAATTTTTTTTTCTAGTTTTTGTTTTGAAATAATTTTGGTGGTGGTAGGTATAAACATGTACACATATACTTGTAGTGTGGGAGGAATATATGAAATGTACAACAGCTGTGTATTTCCAGTAATAAACATCTTCAGTTAAGGGTTTTGTCGTCTGTTTGTATTTGATAAAATGGTTGCAGTTCAGTGTGCCTTCCCTGTCAATGGGGTCTGACCAAGTACATGTACCTCTTGACCACATACTTTCCCCAAGATCAGCTTTCACTTCAGAAGGCAAGCATTTGTTTGCAGCCATACGTGCATGTCATACATTTTAAAGTACAATATGTCTATATTGTGCATAAAAATAACTGAATTTATTCATCAGATTGCAAATAGACCAATCCAAGGAGATAACCGAACCATGGTTGCACTCACATGCGAGTTCTTAAGCTTGACATGCGTGCATTTGACACCCAAGTGGTTAAAGAGGCATGTAATATGTGTGTATTACCTGTCCATGAATGTTGTGCCACCTCCTTAGTGGCTTCTATTTCTGGTTGGCAAATTACACCATTGATCACCACTTGTGGCATGTACACCTATGGTTGTCAATATTATGCTGGTCAAGTTCTGGATGCCTTCTGCCATTGATTAAGCTTTGCAAGCTTGTAATCACTACCTAGACAGAAATATCATGCACAGCTCTGCAGCTGTTAGGCACCTGTCCATATGTACGTTTTTTGGTGCGTTGCGTACATGATGCATTTATACGTTTCACTTTCATGAACACGAAAATTGACCCATTAACATAACACACGTGCATTGCGTTTGGATATGCTATGCTTGGCGCAGGTGTTGACACACATAGGGAAAGGCTCTTTCGTCTGAAAATGGGGGGTGCTTATTGGAAGGCATGGGTCAGTGAGTTCACCCTTTGCTGTCACTTGTTGACATCACAAAAGCTTTTTGATTTTTTAACAGAGCTGCCATGTTTTCCATATGCCGCCATGGCATTCCTGAGGCAGTGGTCGGCACAGTTTAAAACAATTAGGCTGTGTGGCAAAGTGCTATAATGGTAGATGGAACCATCTTGGAGCATTTAGCATTTCTGCACAGTGATCTACTTATTCTTAAAGAAAGCCACTGCTTGCTTGGATTCTGGAGTCCTAACAAACCGATGTCAGTTTAGGAGAGATCCAGCAAAGCTGCTTAATGGCCTTGACTTTGAAGACAACTTTACCAGGAGCCCATAATGCACAGTTGCCCAGGACAGGCTCAGCCACTGCAGCAGTCAGTCTCATAATCAGTGTACCAAAGAGTGAGATGTCCTTAAATTGTGAGGCCTTGCCCTACACTTCAAGTCAATCCAATTAAACATGCAACTGATTTCAGATATCTTGGATCAATAGCAGCATCATGTACAACCACGGAGGAAGGACACAGGAGTTACAACTCTGGCACATCACAGTGCTCAATGATCATCGCCGCCCGGTCAGACAAACAATAGTAAACATTCCAAAAATGCCTGATTACTGCCTGCAGCTTTGCTGGACAAGTACCAGTGGGACCAGTAATATCCTAGCAATACCTGTGGAATTTTCTTTGCAGTTAACTTCACAGTGACCAAGAAATAGAAAGAAATTATCTGGCATTAGATTTACTTTTACCTTCATGAATAAATTATTATAAAGATTTTGATGCACTTTTCCATTATCCATACAATGTTTGTAATTTTATGTTGTCACTCCAAAACATCAGTTTTCAAAGTCTTTCTACAAATTTGGCTAAGACTGGCCAACAACATGTTGACCACCACAGGACAGTTAAAATCACGAAAAACAAAATGCGCCGTTTTATCACAAGGAGTGATCATGAAATCTCATAAAAATTCCTTTTTGTGTAAATTCAGCAATAAAAATAATTCAAATAAAACAAGATCTTACAAACAACTTGGCTGTTTATTCCCAAAATATGTCAAGAAGAAAGTGATCGATAAGGGCAATAACTGCACATGAACACTTACAGCACACAGCCTAATACAAGCAACTGAGCGAGCATTAGATGCTTTGATGTTGTCAGGTCATACCAAGCACCAACGATGGCATGAATATTCAACTTCCTATACTGCAGTAAACAATGTTTCAAGGATGCAGATTACCATTGCGGTAATGATCATGGGGTAAAAAAGGGGCTTATGGTTGTGAAACAGGTGGTGCATAGCAAGCATTCGCTGCGCTCTGGCTATGGACATACCGGGCAAGCCAGAAAGCAGTAATTGGACAGATGTTGTAGCCGAGCCAGTTAAACTCCTTCTGTGTCCTTCCTCCATAGTGCAACTGACCCTGAAAGCCACAATGCTCTTGCCTGGACAACCTTTGGAAGTTGGAACAATTGTGAAGAAGCCCGTTGTTACTAATAACCACCAAAGTGAGGTTGTTCAACCTAACATGTTTATCACAGACACATCCTCCACGGCCAAACGATCACAAGAATACCATTTTTTTCTCTTACACATTGTATTACATGTACGTCCTATTAATGACTCAATTTATAAATCTACAAAAATACTCTGTATAAATATTTTCAAAAACAAAGTGTACCACCTATACATTAACACAAATTTTACATTTTGGACCAAACTTCAAGAAAGTCTCGGAACAGACTGTCAAATAACCTTTCACAAGCTTTTTCACATAATTTTTCTTCATAAGCCACGTAGTCTGCACTTGATATAGATGCATTATTTCATAGTTACTGCAATGCTAAATTACTGCATTGCAAATACTACAATGATTATTCCTGAACCCATACACTGCCCTAAAATGACTCCTCAGTTGTATACATGTATTTACATTTAAATATTTCCTTACAAAAAAAAGACTTAGTATCTACATGACTCTAAATTTCTAAATATCTTTCAATTTCTAAAATGGGAAATAAATTTTTTTCAACTCCTTTTCCACTTGCATGTATTCATAGTAGATAACATTTCAGAATTTTGTAATCAAACCAACCAACCCTGCATTTGTGTTTTATTGATTTTATCTATATGTGCATCGCAGATGGTGTTTTACTCAATTAGCACATCTGTTGGGGTCTAACCGATAGCTCAAAATATTCTGGAGCTGAAAAGGAATGCTTTATAGTGTGGCAGCATTTTGTTTACTACGACATCTGGGTGGACTAGTATCAACATTAACCCTCCTATGCAAAGATGCAATCTGCACCAAGTTGTCCTATCAGTCAAAATCACTCAAATGGCATATGATAATTATGTCTATGTACTGTAGAAGGACAAGTGGAAGGAATTTTGATTGGCTGTGGCTGCTATTAATACACAACAGTAGAAGGTAATGATATCGGATGACTCCAGCCTTGATTTCAATGAGCTATCTAGTTTAGCACAGAGAATAGTGGCCATCACGGGTGTCACCAGGATTTTATCTGGGGAGTGGGGGGTAAACCACTGACTGTGTAAGGGGGTCACCCCCCCGCGATCCTCATAGTGGTCATGCTTCATGGTTTGTTTGTATGTTACTCAGGACAAAAAGGAATCTGGTTTGATATCTAGAAGCAATAAGACGGTGCTTTTTGATTTGGTGGACACCCACGTACATGTACCAAATGCAAACACAAAAGAGTTTATTAAGAACTAAAGTTACATGGCCGTAAATCGGGGGGGGGGTAGTCCCTTCCACTTTGAGGTAGGGAAATGGGCCATTGAATCCTCCCCCTTGCCCTTTTGTGATGAGCCCAAAAAATTTAAAGGGATTATGAAAACTTGTAGGATTTCACCAAAAAGGGGAAGGGAAACAATTTTATTAAGCCATAAATATGCCATTCTAGTGTAAGATTTTTCATGAATTTGATGCACACTAGAGATGTACATCTTCATCAGGAATATTGCCCCCTATATAGAGTACTTGGTGTAGCCCCCCCCCATTTTAAAATTTCCATGGCCAGCCAAGTCATTCCCCCATTTTTCCCCATCACCTATGCCCCCAATTTCCAACACAGTTTATGCCACTGTAAATTGATGTGTGGTCATAGTTAAAACTTAAAGGAGACATGCAATGGATATTCAGCTCAACTTTTTGTACACATATTATTATCTGTTACAATAAAATAAAAAGATCCAAGTTTGTTTTCATTTGAAGTGAAAAGAAGTTGGTAGTTTTTCACTTCTTTGAAAATACTTTTGTCAACATGCACAAGGACACTATCTTGAGATTTTGATGTTGTCATACAATGGCATTCTTTTTCAAAAGAGCATAATAGTAAAAGCACCAATCCTTCAAAATCACCCAGCAATGCTTTGAAATGTAGAAAAGTGTACACAAACTGTACACAAAGCTATGGAAACCCTCCTGTTCCACCCTGAATGACATCACGTTTTTGGTCATGATTATGGAACTCTTCATCAGCATGAAATCCAGTGTTGAAATTTCCCACTTTCAGTGCTATAAAGAAAATGAAAAGTCATCCTAACACTTAAATGAAGCTGCGTTTCATGTATTCAAGTCCTAAAACTCCTATTACATCATTCTTTTACAGTTGGTTCATACTGGATGCAAATGCATTTGCCTCCATCAATGTGGCCAAGGTACCAGCCGAGTTGTAAAAACTGGAGAAAAGTTTGACTAAACGTTTTGGTGATTCAAATCACTGCAAACAAATCACTCCACTCGAACCAAAGGCTGCCAATACTCAAGTCTCAAAACTACAAGTGATAACTGAGGGCCATGGTAAGATGTTAAACACTTGTGTTATCAAACCAAACTTTCACTTACTAACTGCTATGAAGATTGTTGGTAATAATATTTGACAACACAATGTATCATGATTTCTTGGAATAAATATATTAATAAATAAAATATTGTCTTTAAATGTGTTCCTTCTTTCATTATATTAAGGAATGATTACCAAATCAGAATTTAGTCTCCATCTCTCTGGTGTAAGATATATGGTTTACATATCAGTGTCATAAAAGCATAAATTTGACCTGACCTGACCATACACTGACTCAACTCAATCATCTGGATCTAATGACTCATCAGAGTCACTTCCTTCAAATGATTCAACTTGACTCACAAAATTCAGTAAATTGTTAAAATACTGGGTACCATCCCCATCCTCAACAGTGTACAAATGGAGTCATCTACTGATGCTCTCCAATGCCATCAAGGCTTACTCAGGAGGTTTTTGTACAGAACTAGAGAAAAGACTCTGCTGCTGATGATGTTGCAAATGTGATGTCCCACGGCATTCACTTGAGTTCACCCAAGTTTAAAGGTAATGTCTTAAACTTCTGCAAATTCACAGCACCAATATTAGGTGGGACAAATTCATCACATAATGTTCACTTTCGCATCAAGTATGAACCAGCTTTAACTTTGATCAAACACAATGCTAGTCAACAATGGTTTAACTAGACAAGTCACAGGGGTTCTCTACACTCTTTCATTCACTGACTGAATGGACTTGTGAAAATACTGAGAGAACATACCGAGAGGTAAGTTTGAGTGACGACAAGCTGTTGACTACTGGTTGATTTCCTTGGTAACTTGTACACTAAATACATGTATATCCCGGGTGCCAGGCAAAATCAACTGGTAGTTTACAACTGGTTATCTCTAGAAATTGTCCCAAGCCTTTCTACTGGGCTAGATGTGACTAATTTATATGATTAAGGCTATTATAAGTCTATCACGCTTAGTTCAATTAATTATAAACAGCTATATCACAAAATACAGCAGGAAGCCACGACCATGAGTTGCCAATATCATGTCTGACCATAGTTAAACAAAACACATGCAGTGGCTTCAGGAAACAAGAGACAATCAACTCTGAGTGACTTTCAAACCCAAACACAAAGCACAAACACTGGATATCACTTTGACAATGTCATATTCTGTCAAGGTGACAATAGAGGTATTTCATCAGACAGCTTGGAGACAGATGCTGAATCTTGTGAAGTCGCCATCTTCTTCAGTACGCTGTTTTCCAATAATAGTCTCATCACTGTACAGCAACGAAAAAAATTAATAATAACAGATTAAGTTTGGCAGATAATAAAAATTGAAATGACTAACATCACTCTCGCTTGGCAGCAGCAGTGCAAACAAGGACAGCAAAATGTAATTTTCCGGAAAAAAAGTCAAGTTTTGTTCTTCCATACAATGATCCTCCCCTCACCCCAAGAAATGTGGTTTGACTATTTCTGAATTGTAACTGCACATCAATGGAAGGCTTTTTTCTACGACTAAATCTGTGTTTCATACGCCCATGTAGATACAGCCATCAAATGCAAACACCAGATCTAGACCAGTATTGTATCTGAGACCTTGATGTCCAAGACCAAGACCGAGACCAAGGCATACGAGACCGAGACCTACTCCTTCAAGACCAAGACTAGGACTTCGAGACCAAGACTTTTGCAGGTCGAGACCGAGACCGTGAACATGACATCCAAAACCGAGACCAACCATAAACCAATGTTTAGTTTTTACCAAAAGGTAAATAGGGACAAACATATGGCAGTACAATTAAGTACAAAGGAAAAAAAGCTGGTCTTAAACGTGCCTTTAAGACCAGCTCAGGAGAATGGATGTGACAAATGACCGAGCTGCAGGCAAGGGCATTATCAGCTCCCGTTCTACTGAGCAAGGTCTTAAACATAAGTTTAAGACTGGCCAAGCACATATTTACTCCCATTCATTAATACCTTTTAATTCACAGAGTCAAAAGAAGTCAACAATGATGGATTTCCAATGATTCTGTTCTAAAACTTTACTTTCCCTGAACACCCTTGTCCATGTTATGGTATATTCATTTTGTAAGTTGTCCAATAGAATCCCCTTCAATGAACTTGACGTGCACCAATCACACCTGATGAACTGTCTCCTATCCATGTGCCAGTGCGTGATATACACAGTGAGCATTATCACTTCTCAGCAGGCAATATCAAATGTTAATTAATACACAGTCATGTGACACATGTCAACCAATGGGAATAGAAAAACTGTCACAGGTATTTATGAATGTCTATTTGTTTGGGAGGATGGATAAGCAGTGGACATAGAGAAGGCAGTCAGGGAGGCAATTCCTAAATTACCCCAGCTCAGCATCTCTGTAGCTGATGTGGATGTTAGAGGATGGAACAAGAAGTCTGACTGCAGCACGTTTCTTCAGCACTTCAACTGTGTCCGTGTCCTTCAGACAGAACCTGATAGAGAGATGAAACCAAAATCATGAAATAACATCCTTCGATGTCATAAAGTCTGAAATATCTCTATAGTCTACAAGCCTATAATTTTGTTTTGGAAAGGACAAGTTCATTTTCATGAGAAAATTATGTCTGGCCAACAGTGACAGAGAACTGCGGTCTAAATACTGGGAACAGATCCCCCCAAAATAATTACTAGCTCATTGGATAAGTTAACGGAATTTCAAACAACTGGGCTGACAATTTTGACTTGCACAATTGTATACATGTGTACATGTACATTAACATTGCATGGAATTCGTTCTGATCTGCTAATATGGCCAGAGAAACGAGGACAGAAAGTTCAAAAAGCTACAGTAAAACAAGTCTGTTAAACTTCTCATTGATATTTTTTGTTTTTTAATTAAATCCTACAGGTTGTCACTGTCAAATATTTCACAACAGACAAACCTGACTGGTACTTTTCCAAAAACAGTTGTAGTGCAAAATGCAAGCTTGAGGCGAGGATAACTTGCATTTGGCTATATTTCATTTGCATTTGGTAAGTATACTGCAATGGCAATTTCGAGCCTTGCCTAAAGGGCTTTAATGTGAAACATATACACTGTAGCTTATATAAAGGTTTATAATTTTTCTGCACATCAACTCTGAAGTTCCTCATCAATACATGTATTTTGCCTGAAAGCCTATTCCCTTTTCTGCCAAAGCTCTAGCTGTGCTGACCTCATATTGTCTGGATTAACATCTGCCTTCATGTCTTCATCTTCGTCTTCAGATTCAGAAAAATCATGCTCTGTACAGAATTTTAAAAAGGTAAAAGATTTATCATTATTCCATGAAATCTATGGCTCTTTTAACACACACACTCAATTTTGTTATTCTCAATAAAAAATTCTTTGAACTAATATACATGTACATAATGCGCATGCACATCTGTATGCTGACTGATGTGAATTTCTCAGATTTCTGATACGAATATACATGTATGATTACTGAGAAAATATCAGATTAAGAGAGATCTTCATTTCTGCATGCATGAAATTTCAATACTCATACTCAAATAAGAAAGTGAATATGCAACACTGATGATAGAACATCCACATGTGCCAAATCAACAGAACCAAAACATAACTTGAAACCACAGCCTTTGAGAGGCAAGTCCAAACTCAGCAAATAAAAACCACTTTACTTCGTCAAACTATGCATGGTAAGGGACGGTGACCATTTAGATCCGGTATGGAAAGGGCCTAACTCTACCCAGTCCAGTATTAAGCCAGGCCGGTATTCAGCCTGCCGTAGTCCGGTACACAGGCTTGTCTGACCTATGCCCTTTGAAGTCAGTGAGGCCATTAGTTTATTGCCCCTCAGAGAACAGCAAGAGCTGAACCAAAGAAGACTTACCAAATTCAAACCTACTAGCAAGAGTTGGCCAAAGTGTTAATTCCTGCTGTTGGCTCGATGTGGATTGTATTGTTTTGACTATTAACTGATGGGCAGTTTGAAGCTTTATAACAACAATATTCTATATCTCGATTCTTTTGAAATAGTGGGTGTTAAGAAAACAGGAAAACGTTTAACTTCCTATGGCATTCAGTGCCAGTGTTTTCATTAAGGTGCGATATTTTTCAAGTGTAATGCTTCATGCAATAAGGGCACTCCACCAATGGATCCAGCTTGATCCGGAATTGTTTTTGCTGAATTTTATTTTCAGATGAGTACATGTTCTGACTGCCTGGTGGACCATCAAACATAAGGGTGCAAGATTGGCATCTTTTAGACATGCCTTCGCTCGAAGGACAAACCTTTAAACGAAAATAAACACTAACTCTTTTCGACTTCCATTAAACTAAATGCGGACAGAATGACTTGTATACCTGTTAGATTCTATGGTAGGAAAACATTTATACATTCTATACATTTTATAACTCAAAACCTCAGTGGAAAAAAAATTTGACTTATCAGATTTTGAGCAAATGAAAGTTACTGAGCCTTGCACACATGTACATGTACATGAACAGGAAACACTACTTGCCCCCACAGTAGCTACTGGAGACGTTTCAAGTGGTTGTTTCCTTACATCCAACAACAAATTCTTCTACAAATCATCAGTTTGCCGAGATTTCATGTTTTTATTATGCATGTAAAATTTTCTATTCCACTGAGAAGTATAACACAAACCACCAAAATTGTATACTTTTTGTGACATTTCTCTCGCACACAAAGGTGTGAAGCATACAGTGCTTGCTCGATTGGCTAGTGCTGGACACGGGGTTTTTCTGTTTGACCCCATGATCATTTCTTTTAAATCCCTTTGGGGCTCACCATTTTGCATTTCAAAACGTTTGAGTACAAAAAAAAGTAGTTTAAAAAAATATTGATGTGTTTTTTTGTCTCTTTATTCCTTCATCTTTCCTTTTTTTTACCTTTTTAAAAAGATTCGAGTGCAATTTGGCAACACAAAATGGCGCATTCCAAGCACTGTGCCCAGAACATACATGTACATGTATGTCCGTTGTGTCTACACATTGGCAGTGATCGGTGACGCTTGAGCGCTTCAGCTGCAATTGGGCAGGGGGCAGAAACCAGGCTTTAGCCATGCATAAAGCTTCCTTCATGTTGGTCACATGCCTGTCCACCATGTAAAGAATCATTGATTGGACAGCAAACATGGGGGGTACATTTGGGCCGCGATAGCAATCAGGCTTGCATGAAAGGTAGGATCTTTAGGCAGTGGTCGAGACAAGTCAGTTACAGTGGTACCAGCAGCAAGCATGCTCTCTTCTAGCAGGCAGAAATGCAATATTAAGACTTTCACGACTGGTACACTGATCATAAATGTAACACTGTTGAGTCAATCAACGAGCGATGCAAGCGGATTCAGCAGGAGTTTAAGGAAACTCTACCACTTCAAGATGTAAACCTCTGCTGAGAACTTTTAGACAGCCCAGTACATCTTTTCAGCTTTCAGAGTCCATTTCATATGTTTGAGGGCATGTACGTAACTGTATTTTTGGTGAAAAATTTGTTTGGTTGAAAGTAGAAGATGGAATTGGAAATAAAGCTAAAAATGCTAATAAAATGTTTGCCAAATGATAAATATCTGAATTTGTTTGTTAGTTGAAACCAGTTTGTCTGATCAGTAGAATAAATATTGTGTGCAAGGATTTACTGGGTATAGTGTTATATTTCAACATCTGTGCTCAAACAAGGAAAAAGGAAAGTTTTGATTGATTTCCGAGCAAATACGGGAAGCTCAGTGATCATTTTTTAACAGAACAAAAACCATAATTCATTCATTTATATCCAGGAATGGCAAAATTAGTGGTACCTCGGGGTTTCAAAGGTGTTTGAGAGCATACCGATATTTTTTCAGTGACCTCAGATATCATTTTTCTTACAGAGGGTGTTGAAACCAAAAGAATGTTCCTCACAAGTAAATGTATCAAACAAGGGGTACATGTACGTGCATAAGAGTTACAAGGTTAACATGGTTAGCAAAGTATTGACAAATGTGTTGGTTTAAGGGGGCATTGTTTGCAAAACCACATGGCAGGGGCCATTGAGTGAGGCTCCATTGTTGCACTCAAGATAAAATCCTGGTCAACATGCGGGCAGTGTACGGTTCCCTCATGTGAAAAACCATGCGGGCTGTGGCTTTTTCGGTATGCTTGGGAAGGGTTTCTACTGTTTAGTGTTGAGTGCGAAAAATGTGAAAGGGGTTTCTTCTGGGTTAGATTGTGCAAGTCAAACTACAAACAATAGGCTCCAGGATAGAAGAGTGTTTGATCAACCCCCAGACCAGTCTTTAAGTTCGGTAGCTGGTTCAGTGTGAAAGGGGTCTTAATACCAGACTAGCTTACCGGGAGGCCCTTCCCTTACCGGATCTAAATGGTTACCGTACCTTATTGACACTAAGAATACCACAAAGTTACAGTGAAGCTCAACACAAGTCAATGGCGAGTCATTCAGTCTTGAATAACAAATGAACTGTGACAAAGGCATTCTATTTTTAATATTTTGTTCTTTCAATGTTGCCCCAGCCCTTCTTATTTGCTGATAACTGACTTTTTATGACAACTTTTCATCACCACTGCTTTTACCTTGCGTAATGAAAGCCAGATCATAGTAGAAATGGTTGCCTTTTCTGAAAGAGCTCGGCCAGATGTAACCTCTGCCCTTTGGTTTGTATTGCTTGCGTACTCGGAATCGATCATCCTTGCTGTTGAAGCCTATGCCATACACATAGAACAGTTGCTTGCCACGGGAGCTATTCGTTCCTTTGTAGACATACTTGAATTTATGTTGGTCATCTGGCTTGATAGTTGCAGCTGAAAAATTTAATCACCAGCTAAATTTAGAGTGTTCTTGAGAAGGTGAGAAAAACAACCAAACTTTCATGTTCACAAAAATATGGAGCAGAATCTTTCTCAAAGGCAAAATGACAATAGACAGAACAAACAAGCAAACGGGGAATCAACCAAGCATGGATGAATGCAAGAGGACAAAAGGAAAGGTCAAGAAAGCTGCAGGCTGGATAAAGGGGCAAAGGATATAGGGGACTGCATGAAAGGCATGGTTGAATAACAAAGGGATGTAAGGTGGGAAGAGATCAAACAAAAACATATAATGGAACAAACTGGACCCCAAGGGGGGTATAATCTGCAGACAAAAGCGAGGCAAAGAACAGAGTGTTAATTAGTAGTTTCCCTCTTTGTTTGGTGCCGAGGCGTTTGATCTAAAGCTTCTCCCTGTTGAAGCTAACAGCATCTTTACGGTGCCCAGTTAGCAATTCCATGCCTTGTAAGATCATGTCAAACATACATGTACATGTAGAATGGTTAGAAAGGTTAAAGTGGTGGCCCACAGGGGTATCTAGTCATTTGGTGTTGACTGTAGATCTGTGGCCATAATAGAAACGCTACATGAGAACGTTCTTAGTCTCTCTAACGTACATACAGAACACA